CCAGAGCCATAAAGCACAGCCCTGCCAGTTAACTTCTGATTGGTTCCTTGCCATGAGGAGGGCATCTGACCTTAGTGACCAGGACAGGAGAGGCAAGGTCATGCAAGCACATGTTAGCCTGTAATGGCTGCTAAAATGGGGGACTGGTCACTATATTTTCCTGAGGAATTTCCATACTGATTTCCAAAGTGGCTGTATGAATTGGTACTTCCACTAGCAGTGGAGGAGTGTTCCCCTCTCTCCACATCCTCTCCAGCCTAAATTGTCTTCGGTGTTTTTAATTTGCATTTCCCTGATGGCTAAGGATGTTGAGCACTTTCATGGTCCAGGTATAATAAATTTGTAGCTTCATTTTTTATAATCCTTTATGACTATGAACCACTTAGAAAATTTTGGCAGAGGAAATAATTTGTTCATGAAAAAATAAACATATATTTCAACTCTTAGTTAACTTTGGGTTCTGTTGTTGTTTCTGTTGTTCACTTCTAGTAATTGCTCTGATTTTTCTCCTTCCTTGCACTGTACTTCTTTGCTGTTTGCTTCATGTTCACAATCTCATTTATGCTACTCCCATCATCTACTGTCTGTAATTCATTCCATTGTTCCAATGTGCTGTAAAAATGTATTAATTTTCCCCATTAACCAATTATGAAAGGCACAAACAAAAATTAATTTTTAAAGTTGCATAGAGCTTTCCTAAAAAGTTATATCGCAACAATCTTATAGCCAATACATAATAAAACACAAGCAAAATCCTAATAATTTGAAACATGAAACTGATTTGTTTTGTATTCATTAATCTGCTGATTATTCATGATGTATATCCATTTATCAATGCTATCTGACATACAATCCTGGGAAAAATTAGGAAAGTCCAGGAAGCACATTCATGCAATGCTTGTAACAGTAATAGAATCTAGTACAAATGTGGTAGAGAGAAACATTGTGACTGTATTTTCACATTTCTGAGCATGTGACAACTATTTTCTATTTCAATTGTATAATGATTCAACGACCTTGTGAGTATTGAGACTTTTAGGTTTAAAGACTTGAATTAAGGTGGATTTTGCACAGAAAAGTATGCCTTTGGTTTTAAACAAAGATAATGTTGGAGATATTTTATAATCTTTCTTAAAAGTAAAAAATAAATATAGACATAAGTCTTCACTAACCTCTTGAAGGTTATATGTATGGGGAAAGTAAAAAAATTAATTGATGACCCAGGGGAATCTTTTATTTTTTTTCTCTTTTAAGATTTTTAAATTTAAATTTAAACAAGATTGCTTCACATGTCAATCCCAGCTCTCTCTCGCTCCCCTCTTCCCCTTCTCCACTCCCACCCTCCCCATCTAATATCCACTCCCTTCTCCAGGGAGGGTGAGACCCTCCATGGGGTTCTCCAGAGTCTGTCATTTCATCCACATCAGGACGTAGGCCCTCCCCCAAGAATCTATGCTGAAAGAACATCACTCATTGTGGGATGGGCACCCAAAGTTCATTTGTATGCCTGGGATAAATACTGACCCAAGACCCCACAGATTGCCTAGGCCTCCGCACTGACAACCATATTCAGGGAGTCTGGATCAGTCCCATGCTGGTCTCCCAGACATCAATCTGGGGTCCAAGAGCTCCCACTTGTTCAGGTCAGATGTTTCTGTGGGTTAAACCAGCCCAGTCTTGACCTCTTTGCTCATCAATCCACCCTCTCTATCACTGGGTTCCAGGAGTTCATTCAGTTCAGTGTTTAGCTGTATCTGCCTGCTGCCATCAGTCACTGGATGAAGATTCTGTTTCCCAGACTGTCTGGCAGTGGGGACTCAGGGGATTCTTAAAAATGACCCATGTTTGTCATGCAGATTTAAATTTTGCAAGCATTTGTTACTCAGATCCATTTTAGGTAACATATAACATTACAGGATATAACACTTGATATTGTAGTGACCAGTCCCACATTTTATCAGCCATTACAGGCTAACATGTGCTTGCATGACCTTGCCTCTCCTGTCCTGGTCACTAAGGTCAGATGCCCTCCTCGTGGCAAGGAACCAATCAGAAGTTAGCTGGCAGGGCTGTGCTTTATGGCTCTGGGTGTGCTTTAAGGACAGTACAAAACAGTGACCTGCAGAGCATAGCAACTGCCCTGGGAGGGCCTATGGACCATAACAACCAGTTGACCAATCAACACAGGGCAAGTCACCCAAACTTGGAAGCACACCAATCCTGAGACTGTTTCATACCCCTAGATACTCCACTTATGCTGCCCTTTAAGATGCCTGCCTTGAGGTTGCTTGGGGTCTTTCTCCAGCCATTTGCCATGATGGCGGGGTGAAGGGCCCAAGCTAATGGGGTTAGATCATTAAACATCTACAATAAAAGGCTCTTTGCTTTTGCATCGAAATGGGCCTCTTGATCATTTTGGGGTTCAGAATTTGGGCACAACAGTACAGCCACTTTGGAAATCACTATGGAGATTACTCAGGAAAATGGGATTAAATCTACCACAAGACCCAGCAAGTCCACTCTTAGGGATATATCCAAAAGAGGCAAATTCATACAAGGCCATCTGCTCCACTATGTTCATAGCAGCTCTATTTGTAATAACCAGAACCTGAAAGCAACTTAGATGCCCCTCAACTGAAGAGTGGATAGAGAAAATGTGGTATATTTACACAATGGAGTATTACTCAGCAGAAAAAAAAACAACAGAATCTTGAAATTCACAGGTAAATGGATGGCACTAGAAGAAACTATCCTGAGTGAGGTAACCCAGGCACAAAAAGACAAACATGGTATGTACTCACTCATTTATGGATTTTACACATGGATCAGGATAGTGCCAGTCAGCACTTCTACTGACAGAGAGTCTGGGAAACAGGAAAGAACCTAAGAGATATGCATGGTACCCCAGAGAAGAGGAATGAGGCAAGATCTTCTGAACAGATGGGGAACATGGTGAGGGGTGGGGGAAGTGGAAGCTGGGAAGAAGAGAGGGGGAGAAGAGGAAGAGAGAGTAGGACATGGGGGAACAGGAAGGTTGAGTGGGGGGTAGAATAGGGGGAAGAGGGAATCATAGGTTAGAAGACAGATCAGGCACCAGTGTGACCTCTAGTGATCTAAAGGGATGACACCAACTGGCAAGCTAAGCAATAGTGGAGAGACTACCTCAAATGCCCATTCCTGATAATGAACTTGATGTCTATAACCATCCGGGAGCCTTCATCCAGTGACTAATGGAAGCAGAGACAAACACCCACAGTTTAACACTGAACTGAACCCAAGGAACCCAGTGAGAGAGAGAGAGAGAAACGATGAGCAATTTGGCAAAGAATGGGCTGGCAAAACCAGCAGAGAGAGCTTATCTGAACAGGGGAGAGCTGTTGGACCCCAGACAGACATCTGGGAGGCCAGTATGGGAATGATTCAGACCCCCTGAATGTGAGAGTCAGTGAGGAGGCCTGGGCAACCTATGGGGCCCTGGGTAGTGGATCAGTGTTTATCCCTGGCATACAAAGAGACATCTTGTGTCCATAACACAAAGAGGGATGCTCTCTCAGCCTGAACTATTAGGGGAGTGCCTGGACCCTGCCCTGAGTGAAATGACAGACTCTAGATATCCCCTATATGGAAGGAAATGGTGATAGGGTGGGAGGCTAGGGGGGATGGTGGAGGGGTGCAGGAGGAGGGGAGGGAGAGGGAACTGGGATTTACATGTAACACAAGCTATTTAAAATAAAAACAAACAAAAAATAAATCTCTCTCTCTATTCTTCTGCGTCTATTCTAATTCTCCTCTCCTAATTCTAATTCTTGCTAGCTTTCTCTCCTCTAGTCTATAAATAGTCTTCTTACAGGAGGTTGAGGCAATGAAAAAATTACTTTGTCAAAAGTCTATTCCTGGTATGAACAATAAGGAACCAAAATATTTACCATGGTAAAACTAGGGTTTCAAGGTTTCAAAAGTGAGACTATGATCATAAGGGGGGCACAGTATCCAGGGAGATAAACTTTGGAGCATAGGATTTTTATCAACTAGACTTGGAAGGCAAAGAGTTGGCATGCTTTTCTTAAAGTGCTTTATTTAGTATGCTAGTTACATACCTGCGACTCTGACCTTGTGCATATTTGTAAATTTTTAAACTTATGATTTATTTACAAAAAGTCTTTAATCCAGTTTGAACTTGCTCTGAGGTAAAAGTGGTGAATTGTGTGCTGTTAGTTATTCTAAACCCAAGGAACAAAGCAGCCTTTTTAAATCTCTACAATCCTTCACGGGACAATAGATCTACTTATGAAGCAAGTCCTAGTATATATTCTATATACTAAAATTATACAGTAAAATTAGAGGTGATTTTCCAAACCATCCACAGATATGTGCGCCCATAAGATTGAGAAGGAATCTTGAGATTGCATATACACATCACATGAAATTATACACTGCAATGCAGGTATTGGGGACAAACCAAGCTGCTTCAGCAAAAGTGACCAACAGTTTCCGGAGTCATTTGTCCTGTAGGCTTTGCCTGGACAGGGTTAACCTCCATCAGAGAGTCATTTCTCTGGTGGGTTGACATCTGAACACTAGTTGCCACCTGCTATTAGTCTCATGACATTCAACACTAAATTAGCAAATCAGAAACTTAATATTTTGATATTAATCTATTAGACTTATGAAAATGTTTAAGATATTTGTAAATTTGTAAATGTTTAGATGATAAGAATCAGGAATCCTGTTTTTTTGTTGATTACTATATTTCAAATCATTTTTGTTGTCTGACTGCAGAAATTTGATAGGAATGCTCAACAGTTAATGAGTAAATTAAACAAAGTTGTTTATGTTTATTCTAATTTATATGTATTTATGCAAAATATATGCACTATGAAATAGATATTTTCAATATAGATACACATATTTTCTATGCATAAATTCTCAATGAGACATTTTCATTTTGTTATTTCTTATAACATTTAGGACATCAATAACAAATACTATGCAACACATACCAAAAAACTGATAGCAGATACTGTTATTTGTCTGTTTCCAAAAGCTGTGAAGAAGAAAAAGCAAATGAGATATGAGAATGCCCTCTTTATTAGATCATTATAGTGAAGACATTGTACAGACATTATTTCAGGATCCAACAGTCCTCTAATTATAAACATTTCCACATGCATTTTAATTTTAATATTATATATTTGAACTCTAAAATATTTAAATTACTTTTGTTTGCTTGTGTACTTTCTTCTTGTACTCTAATAGTATTTAGAAAGTGAATGAAACATAATTAGTATGTGTTAATATGTACTTCAAAAGAAGATTGCATCTTGCTAAGTTCTCATTTTCAACATATATATATATATACATATACACACACATATATATATATATTATGACCCAGCAAATGGTAACACCTTGAAATATTATTTTTGTTGTTTAACAATATAATGAAATCAATCTCTCTTACCATGTACCTCTCATACTTATTTTTTAATTGCACAAATTTGAGTATGCTTTGTAGTCAGTATTGTTGTAAATGCTTCATATTTATCATAAATACCAGTGCAAGAGACAAGTCTCTTTTAATTTTTTATTGTTTTTTAATTATATTTATTTGGAGTGTGGTATATACTTACTCATACTATGTTGTGCATGTATGCACACATGGTGATTTGAAAGAAAAAGGATGTCAAAGGACATGGCCCTAGTGGTACTATTCAGAGGTGAGGGAGTTTTGGAGGAAGTGTGTCACTGTGGAAGTGTGTTTTGAGGTATCATTTGTGTCTGCTTCCTGTTGCTTGTGAAAGATATAGAACTGTCAGCCACCTCTCCAGAATCATGTTTACCTGCATGCCACCATGTACCATCAATATGATAATTGACTGTACCTCTGAAATGTAAAGCATCCAATTAAATGTAGGCCTTTATAAGAGTTTCCATGTTGATCGTGTCTTTTTGAAGCAATAGAAACCCCGAATAAGGCCCAAGTTGGTACCAGGGACATATGTATTGTTGTGATAGGCCTAACCATGTTTCTGTTTGGAGGAGTGGGAACTTTGGTACTTTGGTTTAGGAAAGTCATGGAATGCTTTAAGCACTGCTTAATGGGCCACTCTAATAGGGCCTTGGAAGGCAATACTGCTGAGAAAAAATTGAACTGTGGTTTACTGTCTTGAGGGGTTTCAGAGGAGAAATATTTCATTATGTTGCCTACAGATCATTCCTCTGATATTTTGGTGCAGAAAGTGGCTGCCTTTGCCCTTGGCTGAAGAGTCTGCCTGAGGCTAAAATGAAGTATGTGGATTAGTTCAGTCAGTTGGCAGAGGAAATCTCAAAACAAGTCTATTAGAGACTCTGTAGGGTTGTTACTAGTGGAAACTATATTGAAGATTTATAATGAAAAAGAGGAAGATGATATGGGAAATTGAAAATGTAAAATTTGAGGAGAAAAGGAACAGTGGGCAATAGAATCATGCTACGTTCTGTGTTCAAGGAGATAAACAGATTGAGAAACAGAATAAAGGGAGGGGTGACCTCAGCACAAAATCCTACCCACCTAAGTTTTCAACTTGAGTACAGAATCAAAGAAAAACTTGGAGCCAGGTGTGATTATGCACACTTTAAACCCAGCACTCCAAAGGCAGATGCTGGAAAATCTCTGAGTTGGAGGTCCACAGAGAAAGTTCAAAGACAGCTAAGCTTAGGAATTGAAAAAAAATTCATGGAAAAGAGAAAGTTGGTAAAGACACAATTAAATGAGGAAGGCATGTTCCAGCCCCAGCAAGCAACAGAACTTGGCAGCTTTAGCCCCATGGTGCTGGCTTTAAGGATAGAGAAAAGGGGTTATAGAATGTTTCTCTTAGACTAAGAAAAACAGCTGAGTCCAGGCAAATATTAGGGCTATCCATGAATAGGGACAACAAAAGGTCATTGCATGGAGAAACCTGAATTGCCTGGGAGACTCCAAGGTGTTCTAGACACCATCATCATGGGATACCTGCCAAAAAAGCTGCTAACAGGAAATGGGACCAGCCCAAGAGAAAGAATTGTCCTGCAGTCAACAAAGTGAAAAGAATAGAGGATCTGAGGTGCACTTTGACATCACACATGCAGAGTTTGGAATTTGCCCAGCTGGTTTTGTGTCTTGCTTTGATCCCATATTTGCTCACTGTGCTCCCTTCCCTACATTGTGCCATTATATGTTGCAAGTATGTCATCTGCTTTTGATTTAGATTCTTACAGAAGTAAGAAATTGCTTGAATTTAAGAACAGAATTAGTACTTTGGACTTTCAAACATTGTTGGAACTGTGATCGACTATGGGGATTTTGATGTTTAACTGAATGTATGGCTAAAAGCCTTTGGAAGCCAGGGAGTGAAATGTGCTGGTTTTAAACAATATCGTCTCCCAGAGGAATGGCACTATCAGAAGGTATGGCCTTGTTGGAGGAAGTATGTCACTGTGGAAGTGTGCTTTGAGGTTTCATTTGTGATCAAGCTACACACAGTGTCTCAGATCACTTCCTCGTGTCTATGCAAGAACTATCAGCTACATCTCCAGCACCATATCTGCTTTCATGTGGCCTGCTGCATCATGATGATAGTGAACAAACTTCTGAACTGTAAGCCACGCAACTAAATGTTGTCATGTATAAGAATTGCTGTTCTTATAGTGCTCTTCACAGCAATAGAAAGCCTGACTAAGACAATATACATGCACATACTATATACTATATACAATATATGTTGTATACATTATATAGCAATTAATATATATGTATGTGTGTATATGTTTAAAATGTTCACATAACACATAGCCTAGGGTACATTTAATGCTGCTTGTATGCACATGTGTTTATGGTTGACAACATAGAGACTATCCGGGTATTAATTCACTCCAGGGGAAAACTGATTCTTCTTTTCTTAGCAACCATAATAATTCAGTGGCTATACTTTCTTTGTAACATTTGTTTTTTCACTTCACTATATTTATATATAAAGCAATAAAGAGTTCCTAGAGAGAGAGAAAATATCCATATTTTCCAAAGTTAGTTTTTCACATCTATATGAAATTTTAAGAAATTATGGTATGGAAGAAATTGAAATTTGATATTTTCATTAATTTTTTAAGTCGAAGAGATTCAATTTTTATGCAACTAAGAGTTGGCCATGGATCCAGGTGACCTGGATCCAAGAACTCCAGAAGCAGAGGCAGACAGATCTTCTGTGAGTTCGAGGCCAGCCTGGTATACAGAGTAAATTCCAGGAGAGGCTCCAAAGCCACACAGAGCAACTCTGTCTTGAAACCCTGCCTCCCCCCAACAAATAGTAGAACATGGATATTGATAATTTAGCAGGGGTTAGTTAAGAAGAAATTGTACATACATGGTGGTGTATATCTTGGGTGATTAATATAATAAGCAATCCAAGAAGTGAATCCCCAGTAAAATGCACACCCCTACAAATAAAGCAAGATAAAATAGTAGTTATGGAAATTATACAATATAAAATACACTATTTTAACATATCCGTACATTTAAATGCACAATTTAGTATTTCAAAATGATTTTCATTGACTTAGTTCTTTGAAAATTTCTTACCTGCATGAAGTACAGCAGCTACTTTATCCCCTTATCCTTGTAATCTCTCTGCCACAGTCTTTACATGCTGTTTTGCATGCCAGTCTCTTTCCCTTCCCATATCTATATCTTTTTTTATTTTTGTTTGTTTGTTTCTTTTTGGAAAGTCACTGAGATTAATCAGTGTCACAATGATGGACCACTCTGTGGATACAAAACTGAAGACAATGACTGCCTTACTCCAGAATCAATCAACAGTCACAGGAATTCATTCCTGATACTGTATACCTCTAGGTGAATTTGTTACAGGTTTCTGCTAAATTGTCATGGGGAAATGCTGATTTCTGAACACATATGTTTCTACCTTTAGACAAACGCTATGCTCTTACTCAGAAAATCTACACTTTGAGATGAATGCTAGAGACAGGGACATGATTGGCTTATTTCTCAATGACACATTTATAGCACACCCTCTAAGCCTCAGACTATCCCTGAATTGTGGGCTTTGAGAATGGAAGAACCAGAAGGTAGGAATTTGTGTGATGCTGTTTTGTGCTCATGGTACAGACAATGCAGGAAAGTTCTCACAGATCATGGACTGCCTACAATGAATTTAAAACACTCCTGAGCCCCACAGATCAGTTATGGGCTCACAGAACTTTGTCTCTCCCACAGAACTACCAGCTTTTGCAGCATATTTTTATAAAGTGCCTAAACTGAATACATGGAATGTCTCTTCTCTGCAAAGGGCAGCATTTAAATCTACCTTTTAACAACACTGAATAAACATACTTGGTTCCATGTTTTTGTTTTTCACACTAATGAGTATTTGACACAACATTCAAATATAGGATTACATTTTACAGTTATTTATTGAGAATGATTCATTTTCACCACGATATTAATGAACTAGAGAAATAATCTATAGCAAAGTATTCACATGAAATAAAACAATATTCAGCATAATTTTAATACTAATGTATATTGATTGATTATAAAAGAAAGTGCCAGATTTGGTCAAAGAGTTTAAACCTCACTTCCTACACTGTTACAAATTGATAGCTCACAGAGGAGACTATCTAGCCATTTTAGAATTCACTGTTATTAAAACAATAGACTAATAAAACAACTGTGTTGTAGATATTCCATGAAAGGAGAAGTTTTTTGTAAGAGCATACCATTTTAAAACTAAACGTTCAGTAGAAAGATAAGGTACAATTTAATTTTAAATAAAACTCGAAATTTTGTTTCCTAATGCCAGTTTTAAATGTACTGTTTGAAAGCTTTCCCATTTCTTGATAGTTTCTTGACACCTATTGATTTTCATGTTTTTCACATGTCAGATGCTAACATCACTCTGGCAACTATAATAAGCACATGATCCTATGTGGGTTTCTTCTATTTCATAAATGATTTAAGGAATCTGATTCAATGTTCGTAATGAACACCTCCCCATGCATGATCTATTATAACTTATGATCCCAGAGAACCTTTCCAAATAGATTAACTAAGATTAAGATTCAAATAATACCCATAGAAAATCTCTGATATGTGCAAACACAACTAAGGAAGGGGATCCCAATTTTAAGGAAAAGGTGACTATCGTTTAGAAGATAGTTCTGTTTATTGTTCTTTGTTTGTTTTCAACTTGACAAAACCTAGAATTATCTGGGTATAGGGAACCCAAATTGTTAAGATGCCTCTATAAGGTTTGAATGCAGGAAAATATGAGTGACAGTCCTTAGTGAGCGACTGATGTGGGAACCCAGACCATTACTGATGATGGCTTTCCTGTACAAGTGGTCCTTCCTGCATAAGAAAGAGGGCTGCACAAACCAGAAACAGCAAATCAGTGAGCACCATTTCTCCATTGCTTCTGCTGCTCCAGTTCCTGTCTCCAGGCCTTCCCTGAGAGATGCACTTATAAAGAGAAGGTGAAACAAACTCTTTGCTCCCCAAGTTGCTTTGGGTCATAGTGGATTCTCTCCAACCCACAGGAATTGTAACACTAACACAATGATGCAATGTATTATTATGTATTATTTTTCCCAGTGAAAATAAAAACTAAAATACATCTTAATTCTCACCTTTATCAAGTTTTTTGTAGGACTGTGTCCTGTAGAAACTTTATGGACAAATAAAGTTTCCAGAAGATGTCTGATGTAGTGGATACAATGGCAGAAGCAAGCCAAGCTGAAAAATGAAGAAATTAACAAGTAAATCCCTTTCCAGAAGCCTCCTTGTCATATTGTAAGGAGCCATGGCATTGGTTTGACCTAGGTGCCTTGAGAGGGATGTCTCAAAGGATTCTCAGGTTAGAGTCAATGCCTTCCAATTCCTGAAAGACCAATGCATTCATTCCATCAAGAAGTGAAAGGTTCAGGCCACTTTCTGTTTCTCTGAATGATCCCTTAGTTGTCAAGGAAGCATAGAATCTTGAAGGACAATTGGTCTTAGGCATCAATCTTGTGTACCATGCATGAATTCCAAACTTCACTGTATCCGGGCAACAGCAAGTGTACTGATGCTGGTAATTGCCATGATATTTTGTTTCAGATGAAGACATAAAAAGTGTGATTACTCTCAATATAATTGTCTCAGCTTCAGTTGTGTTGCAGCCCCTCCAAGCACTGTGATTTAATTCCTTGATCCCATACCATGTGACCTTGGCCCCATAAGTAAGCACAACTGCTTACACCGTATTATAGAGACTTCTAAAATGTTACTTATGTTTTAAGTTTCCTGACAAGGAAAAGTTATGCTGAGCAATACCTTACCACACCCACCCCACCAATTTTCTTGCCCTTCTCTAGCATAGTAAATACTCGTGCCAGCAGTGTTGCTTCTGCTTTCATGTCATGTACATCGCTGAACTTTTACATATCTTCATAGTTGTAGCAAATATTTTAATTTTTGAGGTATATCACAATGCCTCACTTAAGAAATCTTACTTAATGGTAATTAACCTTAGCTGTTTGCTTTTTCGAAAACAATTTCAAATTTTACTTAGTAACTAAAGTAAATCAGTGCAATATTCACTTCTGATGATACTAAAAATGTGCCAGTCATGAGTATTTTACACCCATATGCCCTAGGAGGAGGAATAAAAATAATATTTGACAATGTATTCATATGAAACTGCCTGGAGATTGAAGCAGTTAATGAACAACTATAAAAATAACCAATGCCTGTGTTGAGTGCAGTTGACATTTTTAAATATTCAAAATTACTTTTTAATTGTTTGGTTGTCCTTTAGCAATTACTATGAAATTGAGAAGATTTGAATTGTGTTTTCTAAGCTATCATGAAGCATCCTTTATTGGACTGATTTTATCTACCTGACATATTGCCACATTTGTCTCTTCATAAGCTTATTTCCCTTGTAGTTTAAGGCTCCTCCTGCAATTTTATATAATTTATACTTTGAAAGTAGATATCAAATGCTTTTTATTGTGGTGAGTGTCCCTGGACATAATTAAAATGATTTATTCTACACTAATATATTTAACTAACTTATAGTAAGGTAAAAGGCAAAAATGTTTAAAAATTTATTGTTCTTAAAAAATCTTCAAAATAAAGAGAATCAAAGACAATATACTTTAAGCAATTGGGTTGAGTAAGCATTTTAAGAAATCATTCTATTTAATATAAAACATTTATTTCATTTTTCAGAGTAAGAGCTTTTTTTCAGTAATTAGTGGTGACAGTAATGAAAATAAAACAAAGTAATCATTACAAACTAATAAGTATAGGTTTACAATACCTGGCAAAATTCCCTCCTATTTTCTGGGCCTTCAGTAATTGGTATTGGTTATCCCCAAGGCATAATTGCCACTAACATGTCCTTGAGTGTATTTTGCCAAGCTGGTCATGACAGTGGTTTGTAAGTTTTGAAGCTGGGTTTGACTATTGATGGCTCTTCTCCCTGCGCTTCTGACTCACTTCCTTGCATTACAATGATAACTGGTCTTCAGGGAGTAGATTTTCAGGGCAGTTCCACCTGGTTTATCCAAGTGCTATGTTCAAAGTCTGTGCTGTAGTAAGAAATATGGGCTTGAATTTAAGATGTTTGAGGCATCCAAGGACAAACATACCAGTTTATATTAATTTCGTAATGTCTTTGATACTTCTGGTTAACACTTTAACAGAAACATGTTCTTATTCTTAAATGGTGTCATTTCCAGATGACATGCCTTTGAATCATCCAAAATGTTTCATTAATCTCTGATAATTGCTCAAACCCGTGTAATTACAATGAAATCATTTGTAGAAACTTAAACTTTTTTTATGCTTTGGAAAATATGCGATACAGATGTATTTGTTACCAAGAGTTATCAAACATGTTGTTTGTGTTTAAGAATAGTAATCGCTGTCATTCATCTTTTAAGCTGTGTTGCATATTCAGTATAAGCTAGAATGCAAGCTGAAAATAGAACTGCCATTACTTTCTCCTTCCAAGGTCCTCAACTTACTCTCTAAATTAATTAGACATTCTACTTAATTTAAGAAAAATGAAGAGCTTTTTACTTCAAAGCTTTCTTGACAAGCCTGTCACTAAGAGAACCAATTTCTTGTTGCTCCTCTGTGAGTGGCTACATTAGTCATCCTTCTGTTTCTGCAATGTATTAAATAAACTACTTAATATCACACATCACTTTCATATGAAGAGTTGACAGATTAAACTAGTTGAAATCTGACCCATTAATTATGCAAGGTGAAAGAAGCATGTATATAATAGTTTCATCTATCAAACCATTCAAATTATTTCAATGAGCCATATGTATTCAATGAGCCTTATAGGTCATGCCATGTCAACAATTTACTGCATCTATTGTGGAATTTAAAACCAATTGAAGAAAAAAGTAATCAAAATGATCACAGTAACAGTTTAAAATAAGAAATTGTTTAAAAGCAAGTCAAGTTAATAAGATAAGAAATCATTGGAATGATTGTTCTGAGTAAGAAAAATTTGACACAATGCTTGGAATACCGATAACTGAGAAGAGACAGGGAATGAGAATTCAGAATAATATGGTAGAACAAGTTGTATGAAGAAGTGCAGTGGAGAATCAGGACAAGAAGTCTTCACTCAGTGTGACTACAGCTCAGCATCTATTCTGAGATGAAAGGTCAGGGTGAAATTTTTAATTTTTACTAAAGTATCAACAGGATCCCAGTATTATTTCTTAATTCATTGGGATATTTTTAATTCATGGACTTAGAAGTTCAGTTTTCTTTTTTTCCTTTTAAAAATATAATTCAGAATTTTGAATAATTATATTCCTCTTTTTAATATGCATGTTTTCTGAGAGGCATGAAGATAGACCTGGAGGAAGAATAAAGGATTCACTGTTTTCATACAAGGCTAACTACCACAGTTACATAGCATATTTTGATACCTGTTCTACTACAAACAAAAAAAAATCAATTACATTTAAGTATTACTTCACTCGTGGTTTAGACTTACTAAAATTTCCTGTAAAACTTTTTCCAGAGTTATGTCTTTCTTATCTCCCTTTGCAGCACTGTGAATTGTTTATGTCACTCTCAACTTTATAGTTTCAAGCGTGGTTTTCTTTTGTTGAATTGCCAGACAAATATTGATTGTTATTTGTTATTGCTTGCTACCCCTAAGTGAACTACACTTTACTGTTGGTGACATTAAAAATGCAAACTCCTTCGTCTTTTATCATTAACTAAATTCCATTGCTCTACAATTAATTTTTTTTCAGTGTGAGTTTCAGCCAATATTTACTAGGATGGTACTCACTTGCTGAGGAAATTTATGTGTTTAATAAATTATGACTTAATATTGTTCAAGTTTATTATATTTTGACAGACGTAATTCATTTTAATTTTTCTGTATAGAAGCCCTATGTGGTAGTCACAGCTGGAACTTAACACCTCTGAACAGAGACTCTGAGATTGATTTTCACAGTTGGTCAGTGAATTCATGATAAGGAGATTTGGTATATTTGGTCTCTTTCCAGAGATCTGTGGTGAAATAGCTGGTGGTCTTGGAGACCTGAAAAGTGGCCTTGGCAAAATTGCCCAAGGTAACAGTGCAACCCCTGGCTGATGTCATCAATACCAGATATCAGCAACAGCTTCTTGGACACAGGAACAGATATGATGACAGAGCCCCTGTGGATAGGGCCCCGTACAGAGACACTGTGGCTTGTCATCCTGCATGGAATAGAGAAGGATTTTCCTTTCTTCTTCCCACAGTAGCCTCTCTTAACAGTGATGGAAGAAATCTTTGGTAAAATAGTGGCCCTTCGAATGGCAGTAGCTATCTTCTTGGACCACTTAGCTCTAAAACCAACATAACTATTATAGTCTCCAATAGTGGAAACACTTTGAGCCTTGTTCGCTTGCCATCTGTAGTATGCTGCTACACTACATTATCTGTCGCTCTTTTAAAATATAGAATTTCAACTTACATATTATTTTCTCCCAGTTAATATTTTTATTATCTGAAAATTTCATACAATGAACCCCTATTACACCTTCTTCCCCTTCCTCCCAGATTCAACCTCTGACCTTTGTGCATGCCTCCCCACATAAAAAAATACAAGTCCAATTTGTGTTTTCCATCTATTCACTGGAGCATGGTCAAACTCCCAGTGGCAAGTCCCTTAAAGATAACTGGTTGCTCCCTCGTCTCAAGCCCTTTGTCACAGAAATCATCAACTATAAAGACCTACACTTCAACATGTTTATCAAGTCCTGTCTGGACTGTTATTTTTTCTTTGGGGAGGCATTGTCACAGATGTCTTCAATGTATTTCATTCTCAGTTATGAGTCCACAGTCATTGAAACCATTACACAAGAAGCTTCTTTGCTCATAACAGCCAGGAGCAGCACGGATCATGGACTTTCACATGGTTTCAGCATGAACCACAGACATTAGCATGAATTCCAGATGCATCCCTGATCTATAGATAGTACATCTTTTCAAGATTCTTTCAGGAAAATGCCAATAATCTCAGATTCCTTAATGAGCAGGGAGAACAGGTAAGTTCCTTCCAGGGACATGATCTTCATATCCTTGAACACGCAGCCCAGCTTGGGGACAGCACTGAATAAGTTGTCTTTGTCTTTACCTACAAGAGTCCAGTAGCCTTGACCTCGGTCCCTAATACAGCTGCAGAATCCCCCAAGGAAGGCACAGAAACCTAATAAACCTTGGCCTTTGGTCCTTTGGACCCTGCTGCTGCACCAATATTATCCAAATTGGTTGTTTTCCCAAAAAGATTGTTTTTGAGATAGTCTTTTTGTTTAGCCCTGACTGTGCTGATACTATTATATAAGCCAGGTTGTCCTCAAATTAACAGAAAGAATTCTTCCTCTGTCTCCCCCAGCATGCTGGAATTAAAGGTGTGCCTCCCAATGCCAGGTCCTTTGACTTTATTATATAAATGTTCTATGAATTTGTAATAATTATACTATGAACCTTTGAATTTTTATATTTTTTCTGTGCTTTGCTTATAAAGTTCAGCATTCTTTCCTGATGCTAAGGGCAGTTGTGACTCAGCCATGCTTAGCAGGTGAATAGCTGATTCCTTATACTGTAGTAAGTTCTAGAATCTACTTATGTAATAGTTAGATTAACTTTAACTTCTGGTGCTTTTATTTGACAATGTAATTGTGGAGAAGTGGCCCCATCATAATTAAGGGTGTATCTGTCACCCTTTGTATTCATGTGTGTCACTTACTGTACAACAGGGTGTCGAGGATGTTGAGAACATTCTTTCACATCATATATGTATGAGCTCCTCAAGTAGAAAAGAAGGTATATTAGTAGAGGTCCTGTGTATTCAGTCAAAAAGACCTATAAATAGAAAGTAGATTTAGAATTTTTATAAAGTTTCATAAATATTTTAAGAATTTCCCATATTTGTAAGTATTCATTAAATACATGAGCTGAGAACTATGTAATGTCTTAAAAATAAACTAGATACTGCTGCAAATGATTCTTTATCTGAAGAATCCATTTAGAGTTAATGGAATAGGTAATGTACAGATAATTTTAAATGATTTTAAACAACTACTTTATTGTAATGAATTTACAAATGAAAGCATCCACTGATGGGAAATATTCTTCTGTGTATGTTTGTCTTATTGGTTGATGAATAAAGCACTGTTGGTCAACAGGGAAGCAATATAGGTGGGACTAGGAGTCAAAGAGGATTCTGGGAAATGTAGTAAAGAGAAGCCACCAGGAAGCAGGCAGGAAGTGACATAGAAGGACAGAATCAGTATATGAACAGGGACAAGCAGAAAATTGTTCTCTTCTCCCTCTTCTCTCTGTGGAGATGCTTAGGAGGTAAGGTATGCTGTGACTTCCTCCTGCTCTCTGATCTCTTAGCACTTCCCTCTATATCTGACTCCAGACTTTTATTTTCTGATCAGTTGAGGACAACTGTTACAACCCACAGTTAAATTAATATAGCTACTCACACAATCATTTGCCAAGTACAAAACTCTATAAATGACAATGAACTTCTTTCTCATTATAATAGTTTTAATGAGCCAGTGAGTTTCACTTAAGGGTTCACATTTTCACTACTTCTATACTTGTAGGTACTTAACAATCACAAAAAATCCCACTAAAAGTGATATATTTGTAATTAAATAAAAATTAACTTTATATCCTTTGATTTTGAACTAACAGACTTTAATAGAAATAGTCCAAAACCATTTTATCTGATTCAGTAAATCATTTTATACTTTTAATATTTGCTCCACCAATTCTATATTCTATATTAAGTGTCCCACTCACTGAAAAGAACATCAGTGAAAGTGTCTATTTTTTCTCTTTTTATTCTTTTTTTGCCAAAATATTTCCTTCATTAAATCAATCATCTTGACAATCATTAAAATTAGATTAAATCTTGTCTATTGTAAATGATATACATTGTGATACGCAGCTTTAAGTGTCAACTAGACATAATCTGAAATTACTTGGGAAGAGGATCTTAATGAGAGATTTTCTACATTATATTGTTCTGTGGGTACACCTGTAGAGGATTGTCTTATTTGAATAAATTGATCTGGACAGGCTGAGCCAACTGTGTGCAATAGTAATCTAAGTTATATGTTACTTGGACTAGCTTTAAACTCATGATCTTTTGACTTAGATTATTTTGTGATGATGAGAAGGCTGTTTCCTTTACGTGAAACTTTTAAAAATATTTATTTCAATGGCATATGATTTAACAAAGTCATATTTTTAGCAAATTCTGTACGATATAATCAGTATGAAAAAATGTGAATAATAGTGAAATTTGATGAAAGCCACTATAATTTAAGCTTATAAAATTTATCAGATATTATGTATGAAGTTCTTCAGAGTCAGAGGAAATTAAACTATGTTCTTCTTTCTTTCATTCCTTAAATAAAATTCAGCATTGTATGCTAACAGTCATGAATTCAATTTAAAACCAACATTTTATCACAAATATTGTGCATGCTGAAATATAGCAGTTCAAATGGGAACTAGATGTAAATTATAAATTTTGAATACACTAAAGAATGACACTAACTTTTGGACAATATCTCTTTCAAAACATTCATTTGAGTGCAAATAAAAGAAAAGATGAAAGATACCTAATTAAACTGAAAAGGTTATCAAAAACTGTTCTATGATAAAAAGGAAAGTCTTCCAAGATGTATTACTGTGGGAGCTTACAAAATGGAATTGCTGTTCTGATGAACAAAATAAAATAGAGCCCAGAGAGAGGCATATGCATACACAAGCAAACCAAGTGATAAAGACTTGCAAAGTCTGGAAACTCCATTATAAATAGCTTTTATTTTAAATTCGGGAACTACATTTAAGTTCTAATCATTTATTTATACTATGTTAATGTGTGTTTAACTTCAATTTTCTCCACATTACACATATGTAGAGCTTTATTTTTAAAAAATACATTATTTTAACTAGAAAATGGAGTCCTTATGAATCTTTGTTTTTGTTTTCCTTTGGTATCTGTAGAAAGTTACATAGCTAACTTCCTTACTTAAAATAGCATAGCATCTGCTGAAAATTGCACACCTTCTGTACACTGCAAATAACAGCTGGGCTATTTATGTTGGGTGACACAATCTACATGGTGTATAAATCCTCAAGTCATATATATTTTGGAAAACAAAGAAATCAGATTTGTATCTGTCCAAGATGTATGTCAAAATAAAACCATGTTTTAAAACAATTTGAAGATATGACCCATTACTACTAACACAAAACATCTGATATTTTACAGAAACAATCAAGTCAGAAATGAATATACAGAATTTAAAGAAGAAAATTGTATGTTTATGTTCTATGTCATATTCTTTAGGGATGAAAGCTAACAAACTCCATTTAAGATGTTAAGAATTGTAATAATTCAAAGTATCAGATTAAATGAAACAGTGTACCTCTTCTTTCTGTGGGTTAATGTAATCTCTACACTAAAAGAATTCAACTATATGGCAAATAGGTTTATCAGAATAAATTTTGTTTATATAATAGTATAGCAGCACATTATGATTTAAAATATTTAGACTGTTAAGAAAACAGATGACAAGTAAAAATGAAGTAACTTATCAGATACTACATTATTTTAAGGTAACCTTACATAAGTAACATTAAACAACATACATTACTCTACAACATTTGAAAGGTATACTTTATGCATTTCTGCTTGCTAGAATTCATTAGGCAAAGTAAAATAGATGTGCCAATATAATATTGAACTAATAGAAAAAATGTCAATCCAAATTTAGACAATTCAAAAATAATAACAACAAAAAAGAAGTTTATAAAATTGAAAAAATATTTAAAGGCTGCAGTAATTAGGATGATAAAAAGTCATAAGTAATAATGCACAAACGTGTGAACACCTGATTTTCAACAAAGAAGCTAAAATTACAAAATAGAAAAAAGATAGCATCATCAACAAATGGTGCTGGCATAACTGGATATTGGCATATAGAAGACTACAGATAGAACCATGTGTATCGCCATGCACAAAACTTAAGTCCAAATGAATCAAAGACCTCAACATTAACCAGCCACACTGAGCCTATTAGAAAAGAAAGTTGGAGGTACCCTTTAATGAATTGGTACAGGAGACCACTTCCTGAACATAACACCTGTAGTACAAACACTGAGAATGACAATTAATAAATGGGACCTCCTGAAACTGAGAAGCTTCTGTAAGGCAAAGGACACAGTCAGCAAGACAAAAAGGCAACCCAGAGATTGAGAAAAGATATTAACTAATCCCACATCTGACAGAGGGCTGATCTACAAAATTTAAAAAGAACTCAAGAAGCAAGTCTCCAAAACATCAAAGGATCCAATTAAAAAGTGGGGGACTAATCTAAGTATAGAATTCTCAATGCCCCACAACTGAAGAGTGGATAGAGAAAATGTGGTACATTTAAACAATGAAGTACTATTTAGAGGAAAATAACAATGGAATCTTGAAATTTGCAAGCAAATGGATGGCACTAGAAGAAACCATTCTGAGGGAGGTAACCCAGTCACAGAAAGACAAACATGGTATGTACTCACTCATATATGGATTTTATACACGGATCAAGTAAGTGTCAGCCTACAAACCCAGTGCCAGTGAGTCTGGGAAACAGAGAGGATCCCAAGAGATATGCATTATACCCCAGAGAAGTGGAATGAGGCAAGATCTCCTGAGAAGATTGGGAGTATAAGAGGAGGAAAGAGTAACCAGGAAAAAGAGAGGGGAATAAGAGGAGGGGAGAAGAAGACATGCGGGAGCAGGAAGGTTGAGTCAGGGTAATAATGTAGGAGAGCAGGATGAGAGATACTATAATGGAGTCATTATAGGTTTGAGGAGAGAGCTGACACTAGTGAGATCTCCAGAGATTTACATGGATAACACCAACAGGCAAACTAAGCAATAGTGGAGAGACTACATTAATAACCCCTCTTTGATGATAAGGTAGATGAGTACCCTATATGCCATTCTAGAACCTTCATTCAGTGACTGATGGAAGCAGAGACAGATACCCACAGCTAAACACTGAACTAAACTCCTGGAACCGAGTGAAAGAGATGGAGGAGTGATGAGCAAAGGGGTCAAGACCATGATGGTGAAACCCACAAAGACAGCTGACCTAACAAGCTGGAGCTCTTGAACCCCAGGCTGATGGTTGCGAGGCCAACAGGGGACTGATCCAGACTCCAGGAATGTAGTGTTAGCGAGTAGGCTTCAGAAATCTCTGGAGCTTTGGGTATGAATGAACTTTGGGAGCCCATTCCACGTGGAGGGATGCTCTCTCAGCCTGGATACATGAGGAAGGGCCTAGGTCCTGCCCTGGATGAAATGACAGACTCTGGAGTTCCCCCCAATGAGGGCCTCACCTTCCCTGGTGAATGATGTGGGCATAGGGTTTGGGGCTAAGGGGGCTGGTGAAGGGACAGGGGAGGAGAGGTGGGGGTGGGAACTGAGATTGGCATGTGAAGCAAGCATGTTTCTAATTTAAATAAAAATATACATTGAGAAAAAAACAAAATATGCAATATACACCACAAAGCAAAGTACTAAAAGTAAACAATGGAAAACCCTATGTATATGGGCTAAATGAAGGAGTGAAAATACAATACTGCAAACATCATTCAGAAAATTTTATTAAATCACACTTCACCCAAACGGAAAACATTTTGCATGATGAAGGGCAATCCAAAGATGAAAAAAAATACTTCAAGTCATTTACTTAGGAAGGAATTGTGTGAAAATTTTATAAACAGCACTAAAAATGTAATAGTGCCCCAGATAATAAAATAATTATATACACAGATAATGGTACATAATAGCAATTAATTGAAGACCATTGAACTCTACTTCAAATGAACTCCATTACAGATATGTAAAATTAAATGGCATAATTCATAACAATTAAATGAAATAAACTAATAAAATTGTATGAAAGACATTATTCATAATGAAATATCAAAAATCAGTCCTGCAGGAACAAGACAAAAAATGTTTTCTCCAATCCTATTTTCCTAATAATAAATAATTCTTTAGATACAGGAGATTAGTAGCAGAAGAAAATATGAGCTATGTTATAAAATGGAAATACCTGATCACACAGAAATAATATGACAGAGAATCGTGGTGTTTAAATAATTTTGTATGTTGAATTCTGTGACACATGCATGAATAAGTGCTAGAGCTAAGTAGCTTAGTGCTATGGATACAGGCACACACAGATGAATTCCAAATATTTAGTGCGACTATAATTAGATAACAGTGTTTGTGTGGTGATACATATGATTTGTATAAGTCATTTAGTAAGAAAGATATACTTCATTATTTGTTGACGATGAATACTTCATAAAAGATGCTAGTGAAACCATTGTTTGATGAAAGAGTTTCTATTGACTTTAAATAATACTGTATTTCAAATATACCTTTTAATGGCTTCTAATTATACTTAAGGGTTATGTGTTGCAAAATATTTTCATTGTACTACTTAGTGGATACAAAATGGGTGAATTAAATTTACATTTTCAACACTTGATAAAACTGACCCATTTAGAGCAAAATAACTATTGAACCGTAGGACTGATTTTAGAAAGCTTATGCTATTTCCATAGATTCGTTTTTCACTTAAATGCTTTCCTCTCATATAAGGTATAATTTTCTAGTACAGGTAGCAAAGAATTCTACTGTAGTGCTTCTCTTCATTGCTTATTCCGTTAATGCAGCCACAAGTTTCTAATGAACTCAGGGCTAATGCCTATCACCTTGACACAATCCCCATGCACAAAAGTTTCTTTCCATCATGATTGCTCAAAAGATTTTAGAATATTTAAATCTTTTTAGATCAGATCCACATGTCTGAAATATCTTTAACGCAGTGCACTTAAGCTTCATATTAAGTATTAAATGCTTTTTTGCAAAGCACATGTACCAACACTATTTCCTTAACATTCCTATGTTTCACAAGAATTAGTATTATTTTATAATTTAATTTTAGCCTAATAATTCAGTCCTCAAAGGCTTACAGTGTTATTAAACTTAAACAAACTTTTTAATATCAACAAATAACCCCACTACAGAAGAACTCATTACAAAATATGGAAGGAAAATATATTGTAAAATTTAGTTGGAAGGGTAACAAATATGGCAGCATTTTATTAATACACTTAAAGCTGCATTTCTGTGTCAGAGAAAGTTTTTAATATATAACTTATCATGCATATTGATTATTCTAAAAATATTTTTATTTAATGTGTACACATATTTTGTCTATGTGTATGTCTATTCAATATGGCTATGAAGTGCGTGTGGAAGCCAGGAGAGGTCACTGGTTGAGAATTGTAAGAAGTGAGGTGGGTGCTGAAAATTGAACCTGGTGTCTTGGCATAAATGTTGAGCAATCTTTCCAGCCCCTATATCTAGTAATTTTTGAATTAATTATAAAAAGAACGTACTCAAAAACATTACGAATGATAAAACTTGCTTTTGGTGACAGCAAAACAAAATTCATTTGAATGAAAAATACTGAAATAAACACATTGTGAGTACAGGTCATATTATAATTCAAAACACCAATATTCAGTTTTGAAAAGTGGACACAGAAGACAAAAGATCCCTAACAAGGTAAGGAAATAAAGACGAAGAATGTCCCATTCTCTGTAGATCACTGCAAGAATTATTTATTGCATTATATTTTATTTTCACTAAAAGACCTATAGAGTTAACTCTTGTTGCTGAAGCTTCTCTATTATTTGATTGCATCAGTCATGAATAGCTCAATATCTTCAAGTAGTTTCAATAATTCCCCCCTTCATTTCCTTTGTTGTACCCTTCCTGTTTGTATATCATTAAATTCAGATGTGGCAATTTTGAGAACTGCAATTATTCTCAAAGGGGAAAAAAGAAGCCTGAGGAATGTACCAGAGTCCAAAAAAGTTTTATTTATGTATTAGAACCTCTTTTACACAAACAATACTATCTACACCCTCTAATTCCAATGTGAAAAAATATGCTTGAAATAGGCTTCTGGAAAAAGAAAGGATGAAGCAATATCACTCAGTAGACAAGGCATAAAGTAAACAGATGGACCCTCTTTTTAAGTTAAAAATACATGAAAAAAACATATTTGCTTACTTTTGTTAACCACAAACATCTAGAGCTTCAACAGAACTTTGGTCGCGGATTTTACTCTAACTATAGTAGAATTCTTATAACTGCAGAAAAAAGTCTTAAATATAAAGATGAAATTTATAAAATGGGGCATATGAACTAAACTGGAACTGACACTTACTGTGGTCCAACTGACTTGTCGACCTAAGTCTGTAAAATAGAGTGTGACAATTGAGGAAGCTGCAACACTTTGAATAGTGATGTAGTCCTTCAAAAAGTGGCCACCTAAAACAAAGCAATGAAAAAATAGTATTTAAATAACATTTCATGGCACAGTGTCAAAGAGTTTCTTAGTATGAAACTGGTGACTGCTTAGGATAAGAATTATGCAGTCATTATATAATAAATGTGATAATTATAAGACATGAATCATTCCATTTGAGTAATTTATGCACCAACTTTCCTCATACACAGTGAAATATGTAGACTGTCTTCAGCTTTTATGAAGAGATGGAAGGGAGAAGACTGGAGAAATTTCCCATGAAAAGTCAATTCAACCAGCATTGGGTTCCAGCATTCATGTATCCTAAACAGATAATGTAGGCAGTGTGCGCACGCGCGCGCGCGCGCGTGTGTGTGTGTGTGTGTGTGTGTGTGTGTGTGATTGTAAATGGAAGTTGCTTTTAAATGTCATTTTTGCTAGCTTATTAACTAACAACAGAAAATGAATATTACATGGAAGACAATCCTCCATCAAAATGGTTGTACAGAGATAATAATGCATAAGATCATAGAATGCAAAACAAAAATTTGGATAATTTTTATGTCTTTGAAAGTACACTGCAAACCTATCTGACAGACACCTATTAGATTCTCTAATAGGGCAATCAATTTATATTATGGTATTATCTTTGAAAACTTCAAATAACATAACACTGGAATTTCTTGTGATTTAATGCATTCTATCAATATCAAATTTTGCAAAGAACAAACAGGATACATCATAAATCCTACCAATCTCTGTGTGCTTGTGTGTATAGGGGAGATTTGTATGTGTGTGCATCCTCCTGTGCATGGGTGGGCAGAAGGCAGAGTTGGCCTCAGTAGCTTTCGTTCATTCATATTCCAGCTCTCTTTTTGATCCTGGCTTGCCTGCAAGCTCCCAGGAGTCTCTCAACATTAACACCCTAACACAGTGACTGAATTACAGACACATGCCCTCAGTCTGCCTCTAACATCAGTGCTGAGAATAAAAATGTGCATAACTAACTCTTTACTCTTTGGCCCATCTTCCCAGTATTAACCACTCCTTCCACTCAGGAGCCCTGGTATTGATGGAGTGTTATACTCAAATGAGATGGTGTCTACTATTATAGACTTAAGTAATAAATGTGACTTATTGAGGTCAGATGGCAAATTGTAAATTAAATAAATTGAGCTTACCATATTCTAGTTGAAGGCCAACTCGGGAAGGGTGCCACTTTGGACCTGTACAGTGAAAAAGAACATCTAATCATTAGCAAATTTAGAAAATTACCTTTAAGATGTATAGATTCTGATGGGAAGACAGGATCCCTACTGGAAAGGGAATAAATAATTCATTCACTATCAAACACAGACAGAGTAGTTCCTACTGACATGGTGTGAATATCAGTGGTGAGTGGTGCCTGTGTGAAACTGTGAAACGCAGGTATGCTAAGATCGTGAGCATGTACCAATTCTTATGATCCCAGACAGGAAACATATGTTTAATTACTTCTCAATAAAAATGTATTTACTTGTGTAAAATAATGACTTTTGATTTTTGTTGGAAATCCCTCTAAATTTAGCACCTGAAAATGTTCTGTTTCTTTAGGAGTAATGTGCTCTATTAGAATAATTCACACAATAGTAGGCTCTCCATCAGAATCACATCTACAGAAAATATGTGCTCCATCCAAATGATATGTATGACTGACTTAGACTGTTGTCAATGTAATAATTATGGCAGGGATATCAGTTTATATGTTCTTTTCAGGCAAGTAATATAAATTGATAGAAAAATGTTTTCTTTATAAGAAATCCTGAGGATTTTTACATGGTATTTCAGTATTGAAATTATTATTTCAAAAATACAATATTAACCATGTCCAATTATCTAAAATGTCTATTGGAGTAAATGCCAAACAATTCTATGCAACATGGCCTAATAAATTAATGGTATTCACATTTTCAAAAAAATTCTACCATCATAATTTTCCCAAATAATACATTTTAATTATCACTAACAAAAAGAACTGAGCCAACTGTAGTCAAGCATTCTTTTCAGCCACAGGCCAAACCAAATATTAATTATGAAAGCTTGACCTTAGCTCAGGCTTGTTCCCAACTAGCTCATATAGATTAAATTGACATACTTCTATTAATCTTTGTTTCACCATATGGCTTATATATCTCTCCCATTTTGTAATCTGACATTTCTAAATACCCATTTCCATGCGGAAAATTCCTAAGATATAATTTATATTCATTCATTAAGTCTACCGAATCTTATTCATAAGCAAAATTTTGGGACAGCAGTGCTAAAATTATACATAAATACTGTGACACACTTAAACTTTAGATAGTCTTCAGGTAAAGGCATCATATTTTATTTCAGCTTATGTATTAATTCGCATGCTTGCTGCTTTTATATCCATTTACAGTTTTGTATTGTATGCTAGCATTGTTTAGTGAAAAATATTTAAATATAGTTTTTGCTACTGTGGGATATACAGACAAATAAAATGTGATGCAACTAAATGCTATAGAACACTCAATAGTTTTAATTGACCTTGTGAGGACACATGATATTGAACCATATACAAGTCATTTGAGAATCCACTTATATTTGGCAGATATCAAGTTAATACCTGGGGTATTTATATATATATATATATATATATATATATATATATATAATCACCCAGGTTCTGTCCATTTAAATAATATCCAATGAAGACATCACTTTCCATAGCAACTTATAATGCCACCTTGGGTGGAAAGGCAAGGCAAAAATAGATATTATAAGTATTATTATAAACATTTAGCCTTTCCTTATGATCTTCACATGTATAATTGTTCTTAGGTTTTAGGAGCTTAAAGGTATTAAGAATGCACAACAAACATCCAAGTGATATGGTTAAATTGTTACTGTAGGAGTCACCCCAAAGAAGATGACACCTTATCAGTTGCAAATGTAAACTCACTTTACGCTAGAGTTATTGTGCACTGACCACAGCTTAGAGTTCTTTCCTAACACTATTCAACAACACTGTGAATAAATGATACCTATCCACAAGTAAATTATAGTTTACTAAACTTCTTTTCATCAATGATTCACTTGAAAAGGACAGAATGTTATAAATATACATATAACATATTTTAGAAAGGCAATGCATGTGGAAAATTAAAATGGATAGAAAAATAGTAATATAAAGTACCCAATTTATTCTAGAATTGTGTCAGAAATAATATACCCTAATACACCATGTGTCCAATAAAGCAGAATAATTCACGATTCATCACAAGAAAATGAGAAAAGGCAGGAGGACACCAGCAATACTTAAGTGTTATTTGATTGGAAACATTTGAGCAAAACAGTGAAGCATAATTATTTTGTGTCTTTCATACTGCAGAAAGAACTACAATTAATGATACAAATGTTAAAAATAAATAAGGCTAGGATATTATTAAGACCCAATGGAAATATTTATTGCAAAGCTTTTCAGCTTATGGAACAAAATTGACTTAATATACAGTGACTTTCCAAATTAAAAAAAATAATTGAAAACCCATCATGATCTTGCTAGTATCCAGGTGTGTTTCACATGACATCATATTCAACATAACCTTTCTAAGACAACTAAGTAAACTGAGAGCATAATGCAAGCATGAGCAAAACCTTATCAGGCTAAAGTAGGGAAATTTTCCTGAAAACACGTTATGATAGACATATTGTACTCATATTAAATGAAAGTATGCATGAGCCCTGCACCTGCTTGGGAGCTTGGAATTTACAGAAGGATAAAAATGAGACAATTCATAGAAAACCTGAGTCCTGGTAATTAGAGTTTGTTTCATAGGCTGTTCCTGAAATGGAGCATATAATAATCTGAAAGAGAAATGTTTAGAAATCAACACCATGCCTAACAAAACCCCAAATCTTTAAATAAACCTGCCAGGGTTATTTAAGAGAATAGCTAGTAGGTTAATTGGAATAAAGACTTTTTGTTTGTTTTTTTTTCATTTTTTTGGTTTGGTTTTTTTGCACATAGCAAGCATGTCTTCCAATTGAAAATGGTAGCAATTAGGTTTTTATCATTGATGTGTATCATATGCCTCTCTCTCTCTCTGTGTGTGTGTATGTGTGTGCTTGTGTTTAATGTACAGTTACACTCTAGATTAAACCAAAATAATTGGAAATGTGATTGAAAACCCATCATGAGATTGACAGTTTCCAGGTGTGTTTCAAATGACATTGTATTCAAGACAATCTTTCTAAAACAACTAAGTAAACTGAGAACATAAAGCAATCATGGTAGCAAAATCTCAGAAGAATTAAAGAAAGAAGTTTTTCTAAATATACATGGTAATAGACATATAATATTCATAATAAATAAAAGTGTATATGTGTTTCATTTATGTATATGATAACTATTCTGGGTTGTCAGTTACATCAAGAATTAATTGCAATCCAATTGCCTGTGTACACCTGTGAGGAATTTTTATTGATTTAAAACTTAAAATTAGGAGAATCACCTTTAATTGTATCTTGTGAGGTGGGATGATTCACCTTTAATTTTGAAAAAGTATTAATAAAGTACAAAGATAAAAAGGAGTAGGTTGTTCATAGGATGTGGTAGTTTGAATGTAATTGGCCCCAAGAATCTCACAGAGAGTGGCACTATTAGGAGCTATGGCTTTGTTGGAGAGTGTCTGGACTTGTTTGAGGAAATGTGTCACCGTGTGTATGGGTTTTGAGGTATCCTATGCTCAGGATACTACAAATTGCCTCAGTCAGCTTCCTGTTGCCAGTAGGATGCTGCACTCATAACTCTAACACCATGTCTGTCTGCGTGCCACCATGCTCCTTGCTATGAGGACAATGTACTTAACATCTGAACTATAAGCATGTCACCTCAATTAAATATTTTCCTTATAAGAGTTGTTGTAGCAAGAAAATCATAAGGCAAAACTTTGTGCCAGGAGTTGACTATTGTTGTGATAGGTTGGATCATGTGTTTGTATGTAAGAATATTGACTTTTGTACTTTGGGTTATGAAAAGAGTAGAATGTTTGCTCTTTTGGATCTCCTGGACTGGGGAATGTGGACAGATTTACTCACCCCAGGTAAATCAAACCATCCAGAGTCTGTAGACATAACAATACTAGTCCGCTCCCCACTCAGGGGAAGAGTTGAGCATCCACCCCTGTCTCAGTCCCGATCTCTGCTTACCCTCTTTAGGATTTCCTCATCTAGGGACTGTGGGAAGGTCAAGTGAACCCAGGCAGATAAAACAATACAGAGTCTGCTGACATCATGATGCTAGTCCTGCCTCCACCAAACAGGGAGAAGAAGTGTCACAGACATGCCTATGCCCATTATGAGACCTGATGGAATATTGCAGCTGCTTGCACTCCCCAGAAGAGAACCGTTGAATTGTACCCATCAAGAGAGGAAGGGACCCCAACTGTACTCACTGGAAGAAGGGATCTGAAAATGGCAATATAAGAACACATTCAACAACAGAAAAAAAACCAGTATTATACAACTGGAGTCTAGGGACTCTATACCAGCAAAACCTGCACATCCCAACACCAATGAAGCAGAAGAGAATGACCTTAAAAACAACTTCATGAAGATGACAGACACCATAAAAGAGGAAAAATTAAACCTTTTAAAGAAATGGAAGAAAAAAAACAAAAAAATCAAGAAATGGATGAAAAGAAAAACCCAAAATTGTAAGAAACAATTAAAACAATGCAAGGCTTGAAAGCTAAAATAGAGACAATGAAAAGAAAAACACAGTCCGAGTGAATGCTGGAATTAGAAAAGCCGGGTAAACAATCAAGAACTACAGATGTAAGCATAACCAACAGAATACAATATATGGAAGAGAGAATCATGGGCATGGAATATACATTATGAGAGATAAATTCATCGACCAAAGAGTATCTTAAGTCTAACAAATCCCTAACACAAAATGTCCAGGAAATATGGGACACTGTGGAAAGGCCAAACCTAACAATAATTAGTAAAGAAGTTGGTGAAGAAACCCAATGCAAGGTGCAGAAAACACATTCAAGAAAATCATAGAAGAAAACTTTCCCAACCTAGAAGAAATACAAGCCAATGATAGTACAATAAGCTTACAGAACAACAAATAGAGTGGACCACAAAAAGTCCCCTCACCACATAATAATCATAGCACCAAATATACAGAATAAAGAAAGACTATTAATAGCAG